GCTTCCAAGAAGGAGGAGAGCTCGGCGTTAGCCGGGCGATCCGACTGGTAGTATCAATAAAGCAGGATAAGCAAGTCCGTTCAGCGTCGTGAAAATCAAAAAACCATTGCAGACTGCCCCCTCCCCTTAGTCAATCAACTTCCACATCACTACTGTTCACGGTTTTGTGAAGTCATTTTATGTGTCGTACTGTCTAAGGGCTAAAGGCGCATTGCTGGCATTCTTATCAACTACTGATAAAGCCTACCCCTCCCCCAATGGTCGTCCTCCTTCCGTTTGTCGATTTGGGTTTCTTTGCATATTGATTGATATGAGCTATCTGGGCGTAGATCCATTGCTCCTGTTCATTGCGGCATAAGCCTAGAAGAGGTTCCCTTTCTTGCCAGGCAGGGAATACCGTGACTGTTTATCATTGATTAGAATTAGATTAATTACGATCAAAAACGTCCAAAGTGCTTTCTGATAACAAGCCGCTAAGCAGCGAACATTTTGCTTCCACACACAGTCGACATTACCATTCCGTTCTCTTTTCAGAGCACTAATAAACAATGGAATGTCGGCCGCTCTGTGAAGGGAGAATACGAGGGGTAATGTTGCACGCGCTTATCACGATGCTTATTGCCGTACATATGCGGTTGCTGTTCCATTACAGCCACTCTTCTATTACCACAACCTCTTCAGATGTTTCTTCTTTATTTATACAGTGGCCTCGAAGTATCGAAGTAGGCCTGCTGCGTGTGAACTTGTCACATTGCTGCTAACGCAGATGTTCCCGTTTTTTCCAACTCTGGATTTCCCGTTGAAAATGAGAGGCTGTACTACTGACTTGTATATGGTTCGATACAGCATCCTCCGCCGTGTAAGGTGGCGTCCTAGATTTCTCTGAAGGCTCTAGTTCCAATGATTTTCAAGAGCTTAAATAGAGAGCTATGTTGACGAATTTGAGCGCTTTTGACACTTCCACCATTTTTCCCCTTATTCAGAGAGTTGGAACCGCGGAGGCTCTTTTGCTAATGGTCAGTATAGGGGCTAGAGGCAGTGTGTCTTGGGAAGGTACAAAACCGCTCAGACGACTCCGGGATCTCCTTTTCCGTCTCACAGGCAAACATTGCACCGGACTGCCTACTGATTTCAGCTGATAACTTAATAAATCAGCTTTTCCACAGAGAATCATGCAAAATGAGTGATGCCATGGCAAGCTCCCATGTTCTCACTGAATATCATCGCATGAGTTCTGCAGACAGTCGCTCCCCAAGAAGTCTCCCCATTTGATGAACCTTCACAAGGTCCCCGTTTCTACCTCTTAATCGCTCGAACCATCTTCAAGCCACCCTAAAAAGTACCATTTCTCTGTCTACACATCACCACTTTTATTGGGTTGCCACATAAGTAATGGCGTTTTCCAATTGAAAATTTTGTTCCAAAAGTGAAATGTTTTGCAAGCAAGCTTGATATCATCTGATAGGAAACTTCTCGTAGTATAAGAATATCAAAACAGCTTCGGTTGAGGGAATAATTTTTGTGAATTTTTTAGTCGTTGAAGTTGAAAGTGAAGTCGGCGAAAATTAGCACCTTCGACAACTGCCTCTATTTACGTCTACTCGAAGTGCTAAAATCGCTTAAGCTGCTCCATACATTTGGAAAAGGTTGAGCTAGAAGTCTCAGCAAGGGAATCTCAATAGGACGCTTTGGAACGAATTTCAAGAATTTTGAAGTTACCAACCTTCACCTCGCCGATATTGGGCAGGCTCACGTCTGTTCCACCTGAAATTTTATGCTAATATTTGAATGTTTCGCTGATATGTTTTGCATGTTCTGATAGCAAATTTCGTGCTCTATAACATCCTTTATGGAAATCTGTTCTCCAGAGC